TTTGCTTCTTGCTAAATCCACAGGACACCCACACAGGGAGAGAAGGATGCAACCTCCCTGTGCATCTTCTTCCTGCATGCATTATCTCTGGCAGATGCTGCCATGTGGAGTATTACAGTTTGTACAGCCATCAGGCTGAGGTCCATTGCAGCATGTGAGAAAGGCTTCCTAGGAGTGAGCTAGGTGGTTCTGGCCCAGATACAATTGAACTGTCTTTCCTAGAGCGAAGTTTCCTTGTGCCATTTTTCTTTGTCTGGCGTCAGAACCGGGATCCCATATGGCCCATCTTGCACTGAGGTACTCTGAGCCCTGGTTTCTTTGTCAGAGTGCCTATGAACAGGTCCTCCTTTGTAAGGATGGGTGTGAGAGAAACAAGTCTATGACCTGCACGTGATAAGTACAGTAGGAGTAATTCTCCTGGAGGTGAGGCCAGGTCCATCATGGCACCAAAGGGTTGGTGACAAGAAGACTCCTGGCTCTCAGCCAGCATGGAAGGAAAGCGTAAGAAGGCCAGACTTTGTGACTGCCAGAGAAATGAAGAGGAGGAAGGTGACGCCGAGAAGGCCCCCGGGGTCACCTCCTTTTCATAAAAACCCCCATGAGTAATCTTCAATAGCTATGGGGAACTCAGTTCAGCTCTGAGTGGGCACCACTCCTGCTATTCCTTTGGTGGCCAGGTGCTACTGAAACACACACCAAGGATTTCCCCTGGGTTTGACCAGCAGGTCCAAGCTGCCAGTATGTCTCCTTCCAGAGCCAAATGAAGCTGGATTTAGCATACAGGTGATATCTCTGGGAGAACACCCAGTTGGATTGTGCTCATATGTGTCCTTAGGAGGCTAGGACCTCTTGGGACAAATCCCCAGGGCAGAGCTGGTGATCTTGAGAGTCTGGGGACTGGGGGTGGGAGGGTGGGGGTAGGAAGGGTGAGCCCAAAGGTCTTAGATGAGGTTTGCTGAGTCCCATGTTGCAAAGTGCTGAACATTCTGTTTTTCTGTGTTCTACCTGCTCCTTACACATCAGTCATCCCTGGACCCCACCCCAGCAACTTTCTGGAGTCACTTTATCCAGACCTTAGGTTGCATCATAGGATTGAAGACTCCTGAGTCTTGCTCCCAGACATGGAAGATGTGAGACAGTGTCTTAGTGTTAAACACCATAACCAAAAGCAACTTGAGGATAACTAGGTTTATTTCAGCGTACAGTTACCATCCACCGGGAATTAGCATTCCAGGGAAGCCAAGGCAGGAACCTAAGCAGCAACGGTAGAGGAACACTGCTCACTGGCTTGTTTTCCCTGGCTTGCTCAGCTACCTTTCTTTAACAGCCCCAGGCTCACCTACTCAAGGATGGCACCATTTCACATAGCATAAGCCCTTTTACATCAATTAGCAGTCAAGATGTGACATTGCTGCCTCAGGCCAGTCTGGTGGGAGCAGTTCCTCAGCTGAAGAATTCCTTCTTCCCAATTATGACTAGGTTTGTGTTGGGTTGACCAAAACTAACTGTAACACACAGGCAAGACCTGAATCTGGAGCTTCCGGTGGCGCTTCCTGTTGGAGAGCAAAGCCCACCTCCCTGCCAGGGGACGGCCTAGATGTAGTACAGCTGGCAGCCCCCACCCTGCCCACCGTCTTCTCATTTATCTCAGATTGCAGTGGGAAACTGTCTCCCCTCACCCCACAGTGTCTGTGTCATCAGTGCCCCTAATGGCATCACCCTGAGGGCCTGGATCAGCTTGTGCTTGAATGCCACCTGGTTGGCCTCTGCCTCCTTATCCCCTCTGACAGTGGAACTCACTGCCTCCTCCTGACCCTGCTGGTGCCTGGCTGTCCATTTATGCATAAAGGCCAGACTGCCTCGTTCACTTCAGGATCTCACTCTGGCCCCTCTTGGCAGGCCAGCTCTCTGAGGGAACGGGGCGGGGGTGTGTGTGTTACCATTTGCCATGGAGATGGTTTGTGTGTTTCTCCCAGCAATTTGTTTGGCAATTCAAAGAGGCTTGTGGAAAACACATGCAAGCCCTCCATACAATAGATGAGCTGAAAAGCTTGGAGGAAGATGTGCTTGTGATTGAAGGGAAGCTGGGAAAAGCCCCATTCCCATCTTGCCTGGGCAGAGATTCTTCTGTGTGCGCCACTGCTTTCATCCCAGGCCCAAAGCTTGCTGGCACCCCCTTGTCAGATTGGTTCCCTCTGTAGTTTCATGTGGCTTCTTACCCTTGTCATTTTGGCTTAAATTCATGCTTTGGTGATACTGGGCTCCCTTTAAGTTCTCTGTCCCAGTGCAGAAACGTGGGGCCAACATCAGCTTTGTTGGGGCATGGGGGACACTGTCTGTGTTTAGGTGGCTTTAGTTGCTGGTCATCCCTGGGTGCTGAGCGTCTCAGACAGTAAGCGCATCCAGCCCTGCTGTCACCTGCAGCGCCACCAGCAAACAGTTGTCCTTCTCCCTCCAGGGAAACCCCATGTGGCTTTGACACTCTGCTCGTCAGGTTTCTCCAGTCAATAGATTCCTGGAACGTAAGTGTGTCTGTAGGAGAACCTGTGGGGTCATCTGCAGTAAGTCTTGAGAGACCCTGAGAAGCTTAGTGGCTGGCTGCCATGGTCCCTGTCAAGTGCTCTTCTGGCACACCAGGCTGCTTCTGGAAGCAGTAGGGTGGGAAGGGGTTTGAGGGGCTGGGGCTTTCAGAGTTGGCCAGGACCAGTTGGGAACCAGGTGCAAAGGCTCCCATGCATTTGTAGAGTCTGTGTGGGTGGGATGGGGAGGAGGGGAACTGGTGATTGATGGGCTTGTGTGTCACCCTACTTCAGTGAAGGAGAAGCCAGCAGGGATGCTTGCCCATGAGGAACCTCCATGGGAGAAGCCAGGCACAGGGACAGCTCTTAGGGAAGCTGAGACTAGGAAAGGGTGACAGTGGGCACAGCTGTGTGGCCTCAGGGTCAGTCTTCAGAGATCTGCATCGTGGCTGTATAAGCAGCCGTGGGGCAAAGGGTCTCTTAGGAGTGAGCAGGTGACTGGAATCGACTAGAGTTGGTGCCAACATAGAGGCCTCCCAAGGTGGCACACAGCCACATCCAAGGGAGAGAGGGAGATTTAAGCATTCAAGGAGAGGGCAGGAAGGGGGTCGTGTGGGAGGCCGTTGGGAGGATAGTTTCAGACAAAGTGTGTATGATCTGGCTTTGCCTCAAATGCTCTCAAAGTAATACTAGGAACAAAAATAGATTCTCTACAGAAAACATTGAATGGCTCTTTCTCTGTGTTGATAAAGCTTACAAGAGAAGCAGCGTTGTGGGTGTTTACCCCTCTGACCTTTGCTGACCTCAGCCTATCATGTGGACCAGGGTGGGGCTGAGTTGAAGGCAACAATGGATAAAGTGACCTTGTGCGATAGTTTTACCAGAGCTGTCTTGACCCTATGCCTGGTAGCTTAACAGCAATCTGTTCTGTCAAAAGACCTTATTGCCAACTACGTCCGTATCCTCGGGGGCTGGAGGGTTAGGGCTTGGTGCGTTTGGGGGTCTCAGTTCAGCCCACTACAGTGGGAAAGACCTCAAGCCCAGCCTTTTAGCTGAAGCCCTCCGCTGTCTCTTCGGCATCTTGTAATTGTGTCTTCCAAATCATAAATTCGAAGAGCCAGAGGACAGTCTCATTTCCATAGGCCATAGACAAGTTGCTGTGACTCACCAAGGTGCCTGGGGCTCCTGGAGTCGCAACGGAGTAGCTTTTCTTGTCTCTTGGTGGATATATATGTGCGTGTGCTTGTTTGCGTCTCTGTACACATAGGTGCACATGTATGTGTAGACTAGAGGACCCTCAGGTGCTGTTCCTTTTAAACTGTCCACCTAGTGTTTTGAGGCGTTCTCTTACCTTCCTGGAACTTGCCAAGTTGAGTAGGCTGTGTGGTCAAGCCATAGGGATTGGCCTGTCTTCTCTCCGATAGTGCTAGAATTAACAAGCGTGAGCAACCGTGCCCTGCTTTTACCTGGGGGCCTGGGGATTGAACTCAGGTCCTCGAGTTTGCACAGAAAGCGCTGCACTGGCTGATGTATCTTCCCAGCACCTCCCTCTTCAATTTATTTAATTGTCGTATAGCATCTTCTCTCCCACCTGAGTTACTGTTCCTTCCCAGGGTGATGCCAGACTCCTCAAAGGCAAACCCCACTCCCACGCCCACCCCAGTTTCCCTTGGGATTCTGTAGTGCCCATCAGGAAACTGCTAAGATACCAAAGGGAAGTCCTTCTGATTGACACATCTCTGACAAGGTTGAGCATGGTAGTACGGCCATGGTAGGTAGCGTAGTCTATTCATCACGATTATTTTGGTTTTTTGTTTGTTTGTTTGTTTGTTTTTTCAAGACAGGGCTTCTCTTTGTAGTCCTGGCTGTCCTGGAACGTACCTGTAGACCAGAAACTAAAGAGATCGTCTGCCTCTGCCTTCAGAGTGCTGGGACTAAAGGCATGTGCCTCCACTGCCCAGCTCATCACATATTCTTAGGAATTTCCAACGAGCCCCTGCATCTTCCCTCTCTTATCCTTATCTATTGGTGGGGAAGGCTGGACCAGCATTCTGATGGGGCATACTGAGCAGATGGACTGGGTCTACGTTCAGATGAAGCTTTTACCCAGGAGGCAAATGGCCTCATCAAAACCTGACTGCTCTTCTGTTCCGAGCTCAGGCCTTCAGCATACCTCTGCTTAAATTCCCAGTGTGGCTACTCACAGATCCCCAGTCTCTGTGCTTCTTCCTTCATGAGGCAGAGGACCCCTTTGTCCCACTATCCCAGCAAGAACTTCCTAGCTTGCTTCTGATTGGGTAGAAGTGGACACAAGGTCACGTGTCCACTTCTGGACCCTTTATTAATTTAACCAAAGTCATATAATGGGGGAAGAACAAGAGAGGGACAGATACATGGAAGATTCTGGGCATACCGTCTTGTCATTGCCTTTGTCAGGGGCGTCAGCCTCCTCCTCTAACCACAGGTGGGCTTTTCTTTCAGGAGTACACTGATGCTCACCCTGAGACCATCGTCTTGGACCCCCTCCCCGCCATCAGGACCCTTTTAGACCGCTCCAAGTCCTACGAGCTTATCCGCAAGATCGAGGCCTACATGAAAGGTAGGGACACGTGTGGCTCAGCCTTCTGACAGGTCACATCTGTGTCACAGGTTATCACTGTTAAGGAAGGGCAAGATTCTTGTCTTGTTGAGCACTTTGACACAGGAAGGAATTGAGTTATGGGGCCAGCCATCCTAGGTAGGGAGGACCTGTGTTCTCCTTTGCAACTAGGGTCCCAATCCACGGACGGGATGCTCTGGAGGAGATCTGCTCTTACTGCTACAAAGGGTTTTGCTGTACTGACCCCTCGGGGGGAGATGAGGTGTCCGGATAGCACAGTTAGGGAATGGGCGTGTGTGCAGAATTGCTCAAGTGGAGTTATGTAACAGGGCAAAGAAGACAACGGGAAATCAGAGGCCTTTAAATCAAACTCAGAGAGATGCACAGTGCTGCTGCTGGCCATCGTGGGGTACACGCTGTTCCCCTGGGCGGAGCCTCCCCCTGCTCTGGAACTTCTGCCAGCTGCTGGCTCATGTCCAGAGGACTTGTCTCTGTTCCACATGACCCCAGGATACAGAACAGCCTCAGAGGAGTTCAGACTGCCTTTTCAAGGTGTGGGCTGCTGTGGGACATCTAGAACAGCAACTGCCTGGTCTTCCCTGCTGAGCCTTTTTGCTTTCATTTTAAGCAATCGTGTTTTCTTAGCCCAGGGGTTGCTGAGTGGTACCCCTTTCCGGCCCATTCTATGTTTGTGGCCTAAGCTGCCTTGAACCCTAATCTGGATGGTCCTTTGTTGTGTGGTGGGACCAGTGAGCACATTTTGTTGAACAAGAGCAGAGCTTGTCCTGAAAGAGAGGCCTGGATATGGGAGTCTCCATGTATTGGGTAGGCGCCTTGAGTCTCTTATGTTCTGTCTTTCGGCGCTGTTCACCGGGCACGATGGTCCTGTCCATTTTACAGATGGATCATGGAGCCTGTGTTAGTCCGTTTTTTTGTTACCACACTAAAATACATGAGCTAAGCTATCCATATAAAGGGAAGGTTTAATTAGCTCCTAGTCTTGAAGGCTGAAGTCCATGCAGTACAGTGCAGAGCTGTCCCCAGACTCATCATCTCATGTGGGCGACACTGGCACGAAAACAAGCAAATGGTTACGTCTTGAGCCATGAACGCAAGAAGCTGAGTGGACCCAAACTTGCTTCTTTTATAATAACCGCCCTCCACCCCTAACCCCCCATTGTGAAAACTACCAAGGAATCCCAATGACATTAGGAACTGGCCCCCACCAGCCTCCATCCCTTAGAGGTTTCACCCTCTTATATTATAGCCTTAGGGACCTCCAGCCACACAGTCCTTTGGAGGAGACATATATTATATTTAAACCATGGTAGCGGCCTGAGAGCTAGCAGGCACACAGGTGTCCCAATGGCTCTCTGGTTCTGGCCTTTTGGCTCCCTACGCTTGCCTTTTACACCATGGCCAGACGGTGTACAGTGCAGCCAGGGTCCTGCCTGGAGCACTGGCGAGCCCTCCCCTCCCTCTAAGGAACATGTGCTGGGGAAGAGCTGTCGCTGAGGGGGTCTAGAGGCTTCATTCCTGGTGCCTGATGCCCACCAGTTATCGTGGGATCTGAGGGTGATGCCTCCTTACATGTGTGTCGGGAGGGGGAGCAAATGCCAGGCAGCCAGCAGCCTCCTTCCTTAGCTCTGGATGGTTTGCATTGCTTTCCAAAACCCTAGGTGAGGAGGGCGCTGATCACGTAAAGGACAAGAAGTGCTAAATATATGAGAAGGGTGTCCGCAGCCACATCTGACGTTCTAGGCCTGCCCGTGAGAAGTGACAGGCTTGGAGGATCTCTGGAAAGGTGCCACTGTGGATCTAAATAAACAGGCCATGGAGGGAGGCAGGTTGAGGCTGGATTGGAATCTGGCTCCAGCTGCCCATGTGATCTTGGACTGGTCGCTTAAACTGTTCTGTGTATGCTCTAGACACATCTAACGTGATTCACCCTCAAGGCACCAGTTAGAATTATGGGGATTTCATCTGTAAAAACCCAGTATGCTGTTTGGCCCACTGAGTCGCCTGAAATAGTAGTTCCTGCTGCAGCTGCATGGGTTCAGACATCTTTATTAGGGCTCGGGGCCTGTTGAAGACTTTTATGAATGGGAAGTTAAGGCCCTTACACACATTCCAAGGGTAGCTCGGGCCTGGTGTGTGCACGTACTTTGTGGTCAAGGAGCAGGACGGTGGTGATGAATCGGCCTCAGCCTATATAGGAAGTAGTGAGCCTGCTCGCTGCTGGCTGGTTGCGGTCAGGCCCTACAATGAGGCAGCGAAGACTAAGATGCATGGGACATGTTCTAGGAGCACCCAGTGGTGAGGTACCTGGGGTATCCAAACCCCTGGTGGACCCTGCTGTTCTCGGGTACACGGAGTGCTCCCTGGGACATTCCCTCTTGTGCCTACAGGATGGTGGTCTGTTTCCTTGAGCCTTTATGGCATCAGAGGAGCATGGGGGCTTCTGATTCAAAGCTCCTTTCCCAAATGAGACTTCATTCAATACTGGTTTCTATCGCAGCCACTGCTTATGTCCCTGTCTAAGATGGAAGGGGCACTCAGGCCAAAGGCTCAAGCTTCTATGTGAATGACAGTTTACCCTGATGAGTAGGGCTTTAGTGGGCAAAAGTGCTGGAAGGGCCAGCAGCGGGCTCATATGCCCAGAACTTCTCTGAGGCTGGCTGTTTCACTAGAGCAGCGGTTCTCAACCCGTGAGTTGTGACCCTTTTCCAGGTTGACCGACCCTTTCACAGGGGTCGCCTTAGATCATTGGAAAACACAAATATTTACATTACCAATCATAACAATAGCAACATTGCACTTACGAAGTCCCAACAGAAATAATTTTGTGATCGGGGTCACCACGGCATGAGGAGCTCTGTTAAGGGGCCGCAGCATTGGGAAGGTTGAGAACCACTGTGCTACAGCGTCAAATACAGAGCCGTGGGCCCTGTCCTAGGAGTCTTTTCTGGAACAGAGTGAGACGAGGTGACTCAGATTCGGAGGCACGCAGGAGGGCTCCATGCCTGCTAGGGGCTGCTTCCCTAAGTGCCTTTGGTGAGGGATCTCCCAGGGTGCGCAAAGCTAGGGTAGGCGAGGACTGGAGACTGAGGCCTGCAGATGAGCTTGCCTGCAGATAATGAGCATCATGGTGAGGACATTGAGGAAAGCTGCCACTTATGCAGGACTTTGAGAATGTCAGGCCAGAAGCATCCTCGAACAAGCTATCAGCAGTGTCCCGACAGAGGTGCCTAGGCTGTGGACCTTTTGACAGTGGCTCATAGCAGCACAGGCTTGGGAGGTTGGGGGCAGATTGCTGGAGGGAAAGGCGCCTGGCAGAAGCCCTTCTGCCGGATCCATAGCCATTGTAACAGGCATTGTCCTCCAGAAGCGACAGGATGGGGAAACTGTGTAGGTCCTCCCAGGCAGGGTCTCGCCTGCCAGGGCTTGCAAGAACCATTGACTGCACCCTAAAGCATGATTGGTTCTGGGCTGGCAGGAAGTGTTGGGGGTGGGACACAGCCTGTGAGTGCTGCACCAGGCCAGCTTCTATTCTTCCAGGAGGGCAGTGGACCTGGAACTTCCCAAGCAAGCCCTTTCCTGCTAATGGGGTGGTCCCATGGCAGCACATGGTGGGCTTTCTGCTGTATCCCTGCCAGCTCCTCTGCAGGTGCAGGGACCCTTCCTGGGAAGTGCACCCTTGCGCCTGTGCCCCAAACTCTGCTTTTCCTCTGAGGCATGCAGCCCTTTTCAGGCATGCTGTTAACAACCATAATTACCCCTGAAATTCCCTCGGATAATTATAGCAATCCAAGCGGGGCATTGTGTAGAGAGAAGGGGCTTGGTGAGCCTCTCCTAAGCTGCCACCCCCCAGGCTGAGGTGGCCCTCCCTGTTCTCTGAGAACCCAGCTTTCAGGGAAACCAGAGCTGGAAGAGGCTGCTGCAGAGCCTTTGACTTCTCTGGACAAGGGAAGGAAGCTAACTGTGGCCCTTTTCTGCTGTGGCCCACAGGGAAGAAACCCCAATAATAACATGGCATATAGGCCAGTGTCCACGAATATGTGGCCATCGCCTCCAGGAAGGCATGACATTCCCTAAAAGAACCATTCCCCTTTAGTGTCAGGGTGACAGGGAGGCCTGTGGCCTACAACCCCAGCCTCAGTGGTCTTAACACCTAAGCACCTTTGTGTGGTCTCAGCCCAGATTCCCAGAGCTCATGTCCTCTCAGCCAGGAGGGGAAGCAGTACCCATCTCCTTCCCTACATCTGCCGGCCACTAACTCTCAGTTAGCGTGTAAGTTGCTATGACAGCAAAGGTCCTTGCAGCTTTGCTCTGTAACAGTGAGTGCCCAGACAGCTCCCAGAACCCCATCCTCTGATAGCATGGTACTCCTGGTTCACAGTGGAGGCTGAACCTGTAGCGTCACATCCCAAGGTCTGACTGTTACAACGGAGAGCAAGCAAAGGGGGAAAAAAACCCTACTTATTTTTCAGAATTTTCTGGGAGCTGCGAGATGTTGTCCCCCCAGTGACCAGAGCTAGCTGAATGCTGAACTGCAAAGGAGTTGGGAAATACATTCTTCTGGGTAGCTATTCATCCAGCTAAAACTTAGAAGGTATCACTGGAAAGAAGGGCTCCCATGCATCTGAGGGAACATTAGCTGTCCACCAGGCCACACCAAAAATCTGAGCTCCTCCTTTGGAGACCTACTTTTCCCAATTGAATGGCAGTTGGGCCTCTGGCTGGTGTGGGGTGTGGCCATTGCCCCTGACCCCAACACCAGTCCCCTCAGTACAGCAGCTTAAGAACATGAGGCTAGTAAATTTCAACACGACACACCCACAGCCTAGCCCAGGACTCATTCATATAACTGCTCCTTGGTAACATGCCTGTACCCGTGCCTACATCCACCACCACTCCCACCCTTCAGGCAGAGGTACAAGAAGCACTGAGACTCATCTCAGTTTAGACTAGAGGTAGAAGCTCCCAGCAACATGACATTG